TTTATATATATATAAAGTTTTGTCTACATAACACCTTATTTTTGGGAATTGTACTACAATTTCTAGAAAATGCCCTTTCTGTCCATGTGGGTACAATGGTGACTTCCATGTTTATCCATGTCACTACTTACAATTAAACACTTGGCCCCAAATAGGCTGTTCACAATTCCCTAATGTTTGAAAGTTTGATGTGGGAAGGGTCTTGGGCCCAGAAATAGCAAGGTCAGTTTCCTGGGTAGTCAAATTCTCGAATGTAAAACTCTGAATTTTCTACTGTATAAAAAAATTCTCACTAGTAACTGAGAGGAAAAAAATGGAAAGATGCAGAGGTAAAAAATAAATAGATAGGGATGATCTTTGACAGATAAATAGATAAAAATGTGCAATATGTATAGATAAATAGATATAGACATATCTATATCTATATAGATATGCCTATCTCTATCTCTGTCTATATATCTAGAGACCAAATTTTGAGTGAAATAAGTCAGACTCAGAAAAGTAGTATGTTTTCTCTCATACATGGAATCTAAAAAAGTAAACAAAATAAACAAATAAAAAGGGAGACCAGTAGGGTAGAAGGGGACTTAGGGAGACGGACAAAAGAGGGTGAGGGTGTATGGTGAGTGAAATTAATCAAATTATGTTTTTAATGTATGCATAAATATACCGCAGTGAAACCCACTATAGTGTATAATTAATATGCTCAAATAAAATAATTTAAAATACTCATTTAAAAATAAAACAAATCCACTTCAACAAAAAGAAAAAAAAGATGATTTTGAAATCAAATACAGCTTTTCTCTGAAATCTTCAATATTTGTCTATATTTGCTCCATTAACTAACAGGTATTATTTTAATTGATTCATTTTTATAATTGGGTACAATTGTTTTGGGTTTCTATTACTTTCCTAAAAGAATCTTAACAATGACACCGAATTTATCTACATACTTCTTGGTGCATGGGGCTTTTTATCCCTGGGAATGATGGGTAAATGTGCAGAGTGGAAACAGCTTCTTGAAAAAGAAGGGATGGAAGTCATTGCTACCTTTTTCTGTGAGGGATAGCATTACTGAAACATTTCTGTTGGATTGAGATGGATATTCAGAAGTCAGCTAGCAAGAAAAAAAAAATGGCTTAAAGGAGAAGGGAATTTGAATGCCTGACCTACGTATGTCAATAGGTAGGCCATGAACAAAACATGGGGACTTTCTAGCACCACGGACAGTCCTTTGGAATAAAGACTGTGTGTGCAGGTTGGGGACCAGAGTCAGTGGGCTCACTAAGATACAGTGGGGGCTTAAGCTCAGGGTGGGATAACTGAATTAAATATAAGCATAATAATGAGAAAAGATTTGTCTTATAGTTTCTTTTTAATTCTTGAAAAACTACAGTTAAATTAGTGACCTGAGCTGGTACAATAGTGGAGCAGTGTGGCATCACATCACACGAATCCTCTGCCCTCACCAGCAGTGAGACAGCAACACAGCCAAGCATAAGAGAAGGAAGACCATGCAAAAGACAGCTCACTGCCTAGATTATGCTGCCTGTGTTCTCTGCAAGATGACTGTAACTGGGACTAATGGCACCTAGGACTAAAACCCTGAAAGTTCATGAGCCTTAGTCAGAAGTGATAGTTGAATCAAGAAAGAACTTTTCTCTTAGTGTTATGATAGGGACTGGTCATTTGAATTGATATCCAAAGGTTATATATTAGTTACAAATGTTGAAATTAGGATGCATGATTTGACACAGAATATAGTTACTATTTTACAAGCCAAATAAAAAACCAGGTAGAAAAAGACTACTAGACATCCGTTAAAATATTGTAGCATTTGGCTCTAGGCAATGTAACTAGGTGTACTTTTCTTTTTCCATTTACTTTTCTATTTTAAAATAGTTGTATAATCAACATGCATAACCTAGAATGGGAAAAAAATTAATTTTTTGAGTGTAGCATGCCATTTAAAATCAGTACTTTAATAGCTAAATTATAGTTTTCTGAGAAAAAGTTAATGACATTTACATTTAAATGACTATGCATTATGCATACCACAAAGGAAATATTCTGAAAGTAAAATATGATATGTGATTTTGATGATATGATTGCTTGCCAAATTATGCATTATACTATTTCTTTTCACAAATAAAGAAACATGTGCATTTTAATCAGTATTCTCTATGAGCATGGTTCTGTCAGTGTACCTTTTGGCCAGGATAAAGTCTGGTCATTATTGAATTAACAAATTGTTTTAATAAGGGTTTGCTATAGTTTATGCAACTATGATGACATCATAGTTAGGTTTTGTGGATCCTTAAAAGTACCATTCATTGTTAGACAATAATAGCTGTCAAATTAAAAAAAATGTTGTTAGTTGTAGGTGGACACAATATTATTATTATTGTTATTATTATTATTATTATTATTATTATTATTATTTTGTGGTGCTGAAGATTGAACTCAGTGCCTTACACATGCTAGGCGAGTGCTCTACCACTGAGCTACAATCTCAGTCCCTTAAATTTATTCCTGAAAACAGTTTTTAGTGGCAGAAAAGCAAATTGAAAGTGTTTAAGTGAAAAGGAAATTTTCTGGTCTATATAAATAAAACGTCTATGGCTACATTCATCTTTATAATTTTTTTTAATCAAGAAGATCCTCTTTTCTTCTTTTTTCTTCTTTTCTCCTCCTTTTTTTCCTTTCCTTCTTTTCTTTCTCTTCCTCCTCTTTCTTCTTTCTTGACTGTGCCAACTACAGTCTCTGACTTGCCTGCCCCTTATGCTGGCAATGTGGCTCTACTACATATTTAGAGCTACTGTTCATGGAAAGAGCATAGTTCTTTTCTCCAAGTATATGCATAAAAGCCCATGGCTTAATTCTCATTCCGAATCTGATATAAATCCATCTCTGAAAATTTCACTGAAACAAGAAGGAAGATATAGTGCAGATCAGCCTAGGTTATGTTAGGATGACAAAACTACCAAACCCCAAGGATTTGTAACAATAGTCTTTATGTCTCACATATACTGTGTGGCCATCAGAGGTAGGCTGCCTCTCAAAACGTTCTCACTCTAGGATGTAGGCAGATGGAGCAAGTACTGGTTGATTGCTGTTATAGTGGTAGAAGAAAGACCGTTGGATGGATCCATTAGCAACAAAATGCATGGACTCAAAGTGACACATCTATCTTTCCTATACAATTAATTATCCAGAACTAGACATATGGTTCCACTGAACCACAGGGGCCAGGACATGCTAGGAATGTTTCTTTTGAGTTGTAGCACATTTTTTCACATCATGTACTATGAACAAGGAGAAATTGGATATTTGGTGAACAGCACTGATGAATGCCAATTATATTCACTCCAGGATCTGGGGATGGGGTCATCTCATCACACTTGGGAACCTATAGTCTCCCACAGAAAAATTTAAACTATTGGTAGAAAAAAAAGTGAATAGTTGCTTCCAGAAAAAAAAAGTCAACATTATACTTAATTAACTCAATTTATGGTAAATGACCAAGGTTCTTATTGAGTCAACCTTCCTGTGTGAATAAATTAACTACCAGGGGTTAAAATTTTACCATCTCTGTGGTTATAATCCAACAGCCAAAAGCGAAATATTTTTACCCTACTCTTGATTTTAATTTGGTTTATCTCCTGAAATAACCAATAAAGATTTTTCAAGGCAGATATTTTAAATCTTGTGCAATTAGTAGTCGCTAGGTACTAAGACAGCTAAATCTGTTAAACTATGGTGGATTTAAGTCTACAACCCCAAAATAGATGTGCTCCTAAAAGAGATGTGGGATTCATACTTGTATCTTCATTCTTGTACTTAGCTAGAATGTTTCTATTCCCTTTTGAGTTGTAGCACATTTTCCACCTAAGACACTCAGCATCCAGGACTTTCCATCTTTTGGCTTTGAGGAACAGATAACCTCTCAAATGAATTCCAGAAAAAAATTATTATAATGCCACAATAGTTAAGCTCTAATTTTCCCATCTTGAGGATTTTTGCATCTCATTAATCTTCTACTTTCTTCTGTAGCATCTATTTTCCTCTCTTAAATCTATTAATTTCCATCTCCAGCGCACTACAGCTGAAGGAAGGTGACAAGTTACATTCTCTGAGCTTCTTACTTAATTCCAAAGAAAGAGAATCAAACTGGCTGATGTTAGAAGTTGATCTACTGTTAAACCACTTCTGGTTGGTGAGAAGTATCATGAGGCATTTACAACTGCTCCTTTCAGGACCTTTGTTTGACAGGTTATGTGAGAAGAAAAATTATGCAGGAAAGCTAACTGACTATGCTTGATTAGATTGAGGCTATTAATACTACTTCTTATACTCACTACAGTTATAAGTGATTTATAATTATACAAGTATCACTTAAACCTAAGATGTAGGTAATACAATTATTCTCATGTTGTAGACACGGAAACTGGCATATAGGCACACCAAATAAATTCCCATGGTCATTTGTGAATAAGAGGCAAAGTCACTGAAGAGTTGAAACTGGGCAGTTCCGTAACAGAATCTGTGGTGCTATGTGTTACACTGCATGACTACTCTTGGCTATTCTAAAACATTTGGTTTATATTAGGAAGATCATTAATGATTTCAAGAGTTCCCTTTTACCTCTTTTGCCAGTGGTAAAATGTTTCTCATTCTCAAAATCTCATTTTTAAAATCAGCATTTTCACTTTGCAAGCTTCCCTGAGCATTTCACATTTGCTCCTAAGCCACTATATACCTTCCTTTAATTACCACACAGATCACCTTGTAATCAGATAATCTTTTGATGCCATGTGCTTAGGTAGGCAAGGGCTGTATCTACTTATCTTTGTATTCCTGGTGTCTGGTGTAATTACTGGAACATAACATATACTTAATGGATTATTATTGAATTATTCACTTGATGAAAGAATGAATGCATTATATATGGTGTACGTTAAATAAAATTTACCAATTTCTCTTCTGCTGCCTTTATATAGGACAAAAAGTGCTTCCACAAGAAAACTTGGGAACAATACCTGTGAATCTTTGAAATTACTGGGATACAGAAGCCAAGACACTGGTTGGTTTGGGCTTGATGATGTTGTGGTGAGAACCATCCCGAGTGGCTTGATATCATTTGAATTGCATGAACATTTAGAGAGGTAATATAGTACTAAACGATTGGAGTTGATTTTCTCTCCTGATGGTCTATCTTTGATGTTTGTGGAAATCCAATCACAGGATTGGATTTTAATTCCTCAAATAAGAATAAAAATCCCTTTTAAGATCTGCTTAAAATATAAACTAGAATTGACATGAATATGCTGTTTGTAATTTCTTTCATGATAGTTTAAAACAAGTGCTTTTGGAAACCACTCATAACTTAGATTTCGTTTTATAGGTTTCTTTCAACTCCAGAAAACTTTTAAAATAGCATCTTCGTTTCTGAAATTCAAGGGGAAAATAATTAACTGTTCATATCTATGCTCATCTCATAACTATGTATAGATGAACTGAATTGGTTATTTCAGTGCCCTCATTTTGCTTTCTCATTTCCATGTTTTCTAGACGGTCCATTATGAGGAGCATTTGAATCAGTTTTAAGGTTCATGAGGAGTAGACACTCATGAAGAGGGGGCAATCACCATCTCTAAAGATAGCCTTTATTTTATAATGAAAACTTTACATATACAATTATCTTGGATCAAAATTCTGTAGAAAAAAAATTCTAAAAGTGCAATTTATTTACTGAGGAGCCTCTTAGGCCAGTCTTGTAAGGAAATGAAAGGAGGTAGAGCCAGGGAAGAAGATAGGAAAACTCTGGTTCCAACTGAAGTCTTTCCCCAGCTGATACCTCAGGAGGGCTCTGGAGTACCAGGGAGCTTGGCTCTGTGCCCTCACATAAGTCAGTCCTTGTCTGTGGGAGAAGGCTTCTCTGAATTGGGGGCAACTGGAGGGCAACTTCTGGAAATTAACTGAGAAATGACTGGTCTAACCTAGGGTTATGGGTCTGTATGAGTTTTCTAGTGCTGCTGTAACAAAATACCACATTCTGGATGACTTGAAACCTGGAAATTTATTGTTTCACAGTTCTAGTGACTGGGATTCCAAAACCAAAATGTTAGTAGGTTTTTTTTTCCTTCTGAGCACTGTGAGGAAAGGATCAGTTCCAAGGTTTTTATTGTCTTATAGATAGCAATATTCTTGTTCACATGGCGTTCTCTCTGTATGCCTTCCTGTGTTGAAAGATCCCCTTTTTGTGACACCATTTATATTGGGCTAGGGTCCACCCTAATGATCTTGCCTTAACTTGATTACCTCTGTAAAGACCCTTTCTCCAATTAAATTCACATTTTAAGCTAACTCTGGGTTAGTATTGCAACTTCCGGATTTGAGGGTGGGGCACAATTCAACCCATAACAGAATTCATCATAAAAATTCTTACCACACAGGGGCTGGGGCTGTAGCTCAGTGGTAGAGTGCCTACCTTGCACGTGTGAGGCACTGGGTTCCATCCTCAGCACCTCATAAAAAAATTAATAAGTAAATAAAGATATTACATCCATCTACAACTAAAAACGTATTAAAAAATACTTACCACACAGAGATAGAGATGAATATTTCAGTTCCCACTTTATTATGGTATATATTTTCCATCCTATAAGGAGTAAATAGTTTATCTTAAAAGTATCTCTCTTCTATATTTTGAAGTAATACTTTGGTAATTCTAGTTAAAATATACTCATGCTCTGCTTAAAGACAGGCTATGTTCTGAGAATTGCATAATTAGGTAGTTGTGGTATGATGTGAACGTCAGCATGTACTTAAACAACCTGTGTGGTATTGAGTACATCAGACCCAAGGCTGTGTGCTGTAGCCTACAAACTTGTAAAACAAGCTATTGTGCTAAATACTACGGGCAATCTTGACACAGGAGTGTTTGTGTATCTAAATATATCTAAACAGAAAAGGTACAGTGCAAAAACAGTATAAAGATCAAAATGGTAGACTTATATAGGGCGCTTACCATGCATGGAGCTTGCAGGACTGGAAGTTGCTCTGTGTGAGTCAGTGAGGGTGTGGTGAGTGAATGAGAGAGCTAGGATCATATACTTTACACTTAGGCTGCACTAAATTGACAAAATAAATAAATAAATAAATTAAATTAAATTAAAAAAACTTCACTAATGCATTAATTTGCTTACTATGACTATTTTTGCTTTATAAACTTTTAAAGTTGTTAGACTTTTGACTCCTTTGTAATAACACTTAAAGCACAAACACATTGTACAATTTAAAAAATATTTTCTTTTGTTATATCTTTAATCTCTAAGCTTTTTTCCTATTTTTAAAACTTGAATTAAAAATTAAAAAAAAAAAAACTTTTGTTAAAAACTAAGATGCAAACACACATATTAGCCTTAATCTACACAGGGTCAGGGTCATGAGTATCTGACTTCCAACTTGGTATCATCATGTCCCCCTGGAAGCTCTACAGGAGCAATGAAATATTTGGAGCTGTCATGTCCTATAAGACAATGCCTTCTTGAATACCCCAAAGGAACCTGCCTGAATCTGGTTTATTGTTAGCGTCTTTTATATAAATAAAATAAAATCACTCTTAAGTGCCAATAGAAAGTGCATTATAGAAATATATAAACCAGTGACATACTCATGTATCCTCATTATCAACTATTATGTAATTCACATATTGTATGTGCCATACTTTCATATGACTGTAAATGTGGTAGGTTTGTCTACACCAGGATCACCAAAAACACTTAAGTAATGTATTACATTATAATGTTGAGATGTTTGTGATATCACTGGGTGATAGAAATTTTTAGGTCCATTATTATCTTATGGGACCACAGTCGTATATGTGGTTACCATCAACCGAAACATTATGTGACTCATTATTGTATGACCTAAGGTATGATGTCATTTTTAGAGCTGAGCCTGTATGACTTCTCTATTTAAGATCATGTTTTAGAATTTAGTTAGATCTGAGCTCATGTCTTGACTGCCAAGGATTTCACTAAAGTCACTCATGACTGTAACTGGATTGTCATCAGCACATCTGCTTTTAAGGAAAGTTTGGATGATAAGGGCTTTTTTTAAAAGATATTGATCTATTACTAGGTATTGGTGAAGTTTGTGAGGCTGCATTTCCCCCTGTGGTCTTGTCCCTCTTCTTCTGTGCAGGTTCATTGTACTTCACCTCTCTTCCACTGTGGACAAGAGCCATTTGGTTTCCTTTGTGAAGTCTTTGGAGGATGCCTTGCTCAGCACCACTGCTTGCGTAGTTTTGTCGCACCAGAAGGACAATCCACACAGAGTGGTTGTTTTAGTGGTGCCTTCTAAAGATTTAAACCAGACACTTAAGGACTTGCTCTTAGAAGGATTTGGAGGACTTCCAGAGTCATCTCGTCATTTCCAAGTAAGAGAAGGAGAACAACTGCTTTTAAGGTTTACTGGAAACATATTTGGTTCAAGTAAGTATAGAGAATTCTCTTTAAGTCTTCTATCGTCTTCAAGCCACAAATTTCAGAAGGAGTTCCTTAAACTAGAATCACCAAGGAAACCTTCAGAGAATTGAGGGAAGCTTGCAGGAAGAAGGAAGAGAAAAAGACATACTTCTTCCTTTCCAGTCTCCTCTCTCCTCAGAGGATGCCTCTTCTTTTTTTTAGAGCTAGATTCTAAGTGATATTCTTTTTTAAAAATAATTTTTTAGTTGTCAATGGACTTTATTTTTATTTATTCATATATGGTGCTAAGAATTGAACCCGGTGCCTCACCATGCTAGGCAAGCCCTCTACGATTAAGCCACCAACCCAGCCCACTAAGTGACAGTCTTTTAGAAAGGGTCTTCTCCTTGATGAATCTCCCAGTCCCAAGCTAGGGTCTTCTCCTTCCTGAGTAGCCCCCTCCATGCTCCTTTCTTAACTCTTGCCACATGCCATCTCTTTCCATACAGTAACTATGATTTGTTAAAAAAAAAAAAAAACATGAATCATAGTGGTCCCTGACTTATGATGGTGTGAATTGAAATTTTAGTCTTCATCATGGTAAAAAAGTTATATGCATTCAGTACAAACTGAACTTGGAATTTTGAGTGTTGATCTTTTCCTGGTATAGTGATATGTCCTGTGACACGTCCTCTACTTGTGGTGCTGGGCAGTGAGCTGCAGCTCCCTGTTGGCCACTGGATTGTCATACTCTCTAGTGCACTGTCACTAAGCTATGGTGTTTGGTAAATTAAGTATATTTAATGCATTTTTGATTTAAGATACTTTAAACTTATGATGGGTTTATAGGGAAGTAGACCCATCATAAGCCCAGTACCAACTGTATATTACTTCTCTGATGAAAACATTTATTATTTTTAGTAGTAGTAGTAGCAGTAGTAGTAGTAGTAGTAGGTATTGAACCCAGTGGCACTTAAACACTGAGACACATCCCTAGCCCTTTTATTTTTTATTTTGAGGTAGGGTCTCACTAAGTTGCTTACGGCCTTGCTAAGTTGCTGAGGCTGGCTTTGAACTTACAATCTTCCTGACTCAGCTTCCTGAACCAATGGGATAACAGGCATGCCCCACCATGCCCAGCTAAATCCTTATTATTACTCTCTACTGTAACTACAATAATATCCAAGCTTTTTAACATGCCTTAGAAGGAATTAAGTTTGGAGTCAGTGAATTATCAAGAAATGTGCAGATAGAACTATATTCCAATGTAATGACATTATTGATTGTTCCATATATTTTATTTTATATATTTAAAGGATGACTCTCAGAAGGAATCTACAGGTTTCACTAAACTTCAAAAGGATCTGTGGCACAAGAAAGTTTAAGAACCTCAGATTCAGATGATACAAGCTGCTAACCTCCCATCCCCATATTTATGTAGTGCTATTTTTTGTTCACATTATCAATTTTATCATAATTTGAAATTTCTTATCTATAGGTTTACTTTCAGTTTATATAACCATACTGTGTTCTTTGCTGGAACAGAATATCATGAGGCAATGAGCATGTCTGTCTTGCCTTATAACTTCTGAACCTGGTACATAGTGCCTGGTATGTCAACAGCTTTCAATAATTGTATAGAGAAAGAATTTTTTTCTCTAATTCAGGAAATGACTTCAGGCCCCAATGGGTCTTTGCTGCTTTAAAAAATAATTGGGCTAGGGATGTAGCTCAACGGTAGGGCACTTGCCTACATGCCCAGGCTTTATCTCTGAGCCTCTGTCTTATTGCATGAATGATAAGGATGTTAGAAAAGGGGAAAGGAAAGAAGAAGAGGTAGAGGAATGAAGGGTAGGAAAAAACCCTTTGTACTCAGCTTTCAGAGCAGAAACCACCATATCCACGTAGGGAAATCTCTCTAATGAAAGATAGTCAAAAACCAGAAGTGCCCCACCCAAATAATGATGCAAATAATTTTCCTGTAATACTTGGAACAGCGGCTGTGTTTACATGCTGCTCTAAACAGGAGTTGGTTACTGTTCTCATAGGCAGGGGAACTGAGTGTCCTATTGTCTGCAATGGAATATGGGGTGCATGCTAAATTAAGAGTGCGTGAAGTCAGCAGGCCCATGTACAATTCTTTCACATAGGTGAAGTCAAGGAGCTTATCTTCACTCAAAGAAAGTGAGTCAGGCAGGATGCCAGGATCTTTTCTACTTTGCTTTTCTTAGAAATCATGCTCAGACCTGAAACCGTACTGGACTTTTCTCCGCCTAAGAGGAACAAGAACATTAGTAAAGAATACATATCTATCCTTCCATCAGAGCCTGGGGTAGTCTGAGAATCTCAAAGTGATGAAGGCAGAGGATCTTTGCCTGGAGGGTTCTCCTTCTCTTCCATCCCAATCCCTTCACCCTCAATTCTTTCCCACTTTATCTCTGTATCTCACCTCAATGGTCATGTTTAAAGATGTCTCCCCATCCTCCCTGATTATATCAGTCCTTACTGTTTTCAGAGTCTTATTTTACTTCTGAAGACCTTCACTTCTTCTTTTATGTCCCTTGTCACAATTTTCTATCTACTCATTTAATGACCAATGCCATTTTCTCTGATGGCAGTCCTATGAATAAAGGGGCTATTCTGCTGGTGCACACCATTCAATCCCCAGCACCTAGGATAGTGCCTAACATCCAGAAAAGGCCTCAGTGAGTCTGTGTTGGAAGAAACAGAGACAAAAGCTTGTAGAAAGATTTGACTTTATAGTGCTAAGAATGGTTCAAAGTATTTAAAACATTAGTTAACAAATTTAGATGACTATCCTTTGAGAAATGCCCACATTTCTCTTTTTTTTTCACTTGTGAATAATACAGATGAATCGTTTGAGTTAGATTTATGTCTATGCCTTCAAGGATAAAAGCTAGATAGATGCTTTCTGTGGTTTGGTATTGGTCTTTGTCATTCTGGACAGAGCTACAGGCTGCTTTCTTTTCCTGGGTTGGAGAGTCAGTTCAGCACTTAGACTTTATGTTGCATTGCACTCAAGCTCTGAGTGCACAGAAAACCCAGAAAGTGCTGAGAAGTGCTTTTGCAAGGTTTTATATAATGACACCTTAGCAACACCCCTAACAACTAGGGAATGCTCTGTGGAGGTCAGTGTCTCCTAAAGTTGCCCTAAATACCTTTTGACCCAGGAAAGTCATTTTCCTAGACATGTGTAAGATGCTTAAATAACCATCCTTTTTTTTTTTACCAAGTATTCTCTGCCCTCATATAAATTATAGGCTATTGAAGAGATATAGAGAAGAAGTAAATAAATGAATAAAACGTACTGCTTAACATGGCTGAAAAGTGTGTTCTGGAAGAATAGTATAGGGAAAGGATAAAGGGAGTCCTGGAAGAGTGGCAGTATTGAATTTTACATAGTCATAGGGGAGACCTGTTGAGAAAACAGCATTTACACAAAGACCCTAAGCAGGTGAGAGAGTAAGCTGTCATCCTGTCTCAGGAGAGTTTGTCCCCAGCACAAGGATTGTAACTGCAGGTGAGCCGAGGCAGAAATGTGCCTTGTATATTTGAAGCCCATTAGGGCCTGGCATGGCTGGATCAGAGGGAGTGAGGAGAGATTGCAGGAAATAAGGTGAGGATTGATAGTGCCCTGAAGGCCCTTGACAGGACTTTGCCTTTTTTACTAAGTGAAGTGGGGATCTACAAAGGATTTTCAACAAAGGAGTGGCATAATTTGAGGGAGATTATGACTGAGTAAGGTAAGGGGTAGACACAAAGAGGTCAGTTAAGGAGCCACTGCAGTTAACTGAGCAAGTAAACTGAAACTTAGAGGTAGAGGTCATAGAGGATGGCTTGGATTATAGAAATAGCTGAGCTAAGGCTCTTTATTAGGATTTTTTGGGGTTCCCCTTATTGCTAGCCCTTTTGTTTCCTCATCTGACTTTTCTAAGTGAAAGCATATATTTCTATGTTTGCAACTTTCTATAACATAAATGAAAAGCATTCAATTTCCATTATTAAGAAGAAAATATATTGCCATAAGAAAATATATTGCCATGAGAAACATCTAATCAGTTGCAAAATAGAAATGAATTTTGCTTAATGTGACAAGTATTTATTGACCAGCTGGTACTTCAGGGTCCTACAAGGTTCTACGTACTTTGTATGTTGAAAAAGAGAAAATGATTTTCAAAAAGTCAACTAGTGGTAGATTTCATGCTTTGGATATGCAGCAAATAATTCTCATTTTTTTCTTCTACTCTAAATGTGTCAGAAAAGGAAGAAAAATATGGAATAGTGAAATTTCTTCATACTATTTGTCCTTTTTTGCAGTGTTATACAACAGTGAAACTCTAGATTTTAAAAATTTCCATGATGCTTTCTAATATTAGATCATTCTATTTATTGCTAGTAAACACTGATAATTTCATCCTGGTTTTATATGTAAATGTGATTTTTAGAGATTACTGATCTTTACTTTTAAAAACTGGTGATTAGAAGTATATACTTTAAGATCTGAATTGAAACAATATAGCTATGACTCATTTTAAATTCTTATATCCTGTATATAAATAATTCCTTATGAATAATTGTGCACCTGGCAAAGAATATAATGTCTCTTAAAGGAAGGAAGGAGAAATCTACCAAGCAAGATTTTATTCGGATCAAAGTAGTATTATTTTTCTTGATAGTACTTGAATGGCAGGAAATAGAAGTCAACCAGCTATTACTTGAGTGATCTGCAAACTTTCATTCACGATTTAGATTATATTTTAATCACCCAGATAATTTATCTTATTTAAAAAAACAAAATAAAACTCTTGCAAGAAACAACCCTGGTTAGTCATTCCTTTTTTAGAAGTCTGTTTTGTTCACATTGCCAGTTTGCCCCTCAAATACAGACGTGTGCAAAGCTATCTATCTTTGCTTTCCCTAACCTACATATATTCTGGTTCTAGATTTAACTGTGCTTTAGAATTTCATCAAAATGGCATCTAGCAGTCATAATAGGAGAAGGACAGAGGTGTCTTCTCCTCTACCACTGAATTCTTCTTCTTTTATTGGGCAAAATGAAAGAAAGGTCTTCTGTGAGAGCTCTGGGTAATCAACTATATTATGGCCAACAAAAGAAGTTCCAACCCAGATATTAAAGCTTCATCTTGATATTCTTAACAAAAAAATGTAAGGGTTGATTTTTAAGCATTCATATGAAAATAATAGAAGCCTGCTTCTTATTGTTTGCTGGTTTTGCTACTGTTTATTCAGCATAGTCTGTGCTAGGCCCTTTGACAATCATTATATATATTTTCTCATTTCATCCCAGAATTATCCTACGAGATAAGTTTATTTTTCTTGTTTTAAAGAAAAGGCAGTTAAGACACAAGAAACTCAGAGGCATAAAAGAACTTTGACAAACAGTGTAGTGTAGACTAATGGTGGCGGCTGGACTTGACTCCAGATCTTTATGTCTAAAACATGTTATTTTATCTGCCATATTATAGCTTCCTATATATTTTGCAAAAGGTAATAAAGCTACCTTGGGGAATAGCAATGTCCCTTTTGCTGTTGCAATATCAGTGTAAAATATCCACATTGACATGGTAAAACTCCCGTAAGTGAAAGGTTGTGTTCAGAAACATGTCAGTGTTTTCACTGAGGAGTTGAGAGGAAAACATAGATTATTGTTTTGGGAGCATCCACTACATTTTTTGTTTGTTTGTTTGTTTTTACAAATTTCTTATAAATTTTTCAACACAAATCCCAAATTATCCCACTTGGAAGTTCTAAAATAGCATGGTTCATTCTGAAAATAAGAAAAGGTTTTATATCTGTGCTATTCAGTGAAGTAGCCACTTAGACATGTGTGGCTACTGAGCATTTTAAATGTGGTGAGGAGTGGAATTTTATACTTTCTTTAATTTTAATTAATTTTCCTTTAAACCTGAATAGCCACAATTATAGGAGAGAGTGCAGTACTAGAAAGTCTATTGTGAGGTTATGATAATGTACAACACGGTATGAACAAGATAAAGGACAAAGGTAATTCTTGAGACTGAAGATAATTTTCTAAATACTGAAAGAGCTGAATATTTCTAATAGTTCCTTGCTATAGCAAAAGGGGAAAAAACAAAAAAGAAAAGATTTTTAAACCTAGAAATAGCCAGAGTACCTCACCTACCAACAAATGAAACATTCTTCTAGTGATAATCTGTTCTTAACCTATTGCTGCTTTTCCAAGTTATGTTTGACAAGATGCAATGATACGACAAGAAACTTTAATTATATGTAGAAATTGGATGAATATTTGGGTTTTAAAAATTAAGACAAAGTGATATATCTTAATGGTAACGAATGCATTTTACTTCCATTTAGGCAATGGGAAGGATTATGGAAAAGAATACAAACTTATTTTTCACTTGCAAAGAAAACCCAGGCTGGAACTCCAAATCAAAGAGGTGGATGAATTTGGAAACTACAGCTGTCCCCATTATAAGGGAACCATTGTAGTTTATAAAGTACCTAAGGAAAAGATAGTTCCCAACCTGGACCAATCTCTCATACTTAATGAAAATCATTATGAGTTGCCAATTTGCAAATTACCATTGAAATTGCCAAAGGTGAGTTATTCTACTTTCCTCGATGCTGTATTTTGTTAATTCTTTGTAATTCTCTATCACAGTCAGTTCTGCAGGCAAATGAATATACGAGTTTTAAAGAAAAATAAGAATAAATCTCAAACAGAAGGAGTAGGTAGGCCCAATGTTAGAGTGGTAAAATATATATTAGGATTGATTTTTTTCATATCAGTTTTTCTGACAGAGCAATTCAAATTAATCTGTTTCTCACAGTATGTTGTTAATGACTATGGAAATAATGTTATTCATTTTCTGTAACTACATCTGACTAGCTGGGAAATCATTTATGAAAACATTGAATACATTAGGAGTGTATCACTTTAAGGAAAAATTACATTGATTGGGAAATGGAATCAAATATTTTCACTGAGCCTTAATAAATCCTGTGTGTTTATTTTGTGAGTTAATTACTCCTATGTAATATTGTTACTGTTATCAGAAAGTGGGGTTGAATTATTTATTCAAACACATCAAACAAGTAAATATACTATATTTATTCAAACATCCAACATACAAATACATGCATTTTCTTTAATTGTATACAATTTATTTATGACTTAGTGTATTTACACTATATACTTAATGGGAAAAATAACTGAAAATTTCATTTGATTACTCCCTATAAAGAATAAAATTCTTTATTCTTTAAAGAAAATTATTTTTTCAGTTTTTACTTTTTATGTCATAAATAGCTGAAATGTTTTCCACAGATAGATAGTCCTACTTGTAAATGAACCGGTAAAATAAGTAACTAATTAATGAATATTTAAAAAATATTTTTGGATACAATATCTTTAGTTATTTATTTATTTTTATGTGGTGCTGAGTATCAAACCCCATGCCTCACATGTGTGAGGCAAGCACTCTGCCACTGAGCTATAATCCCAGCCCCTAACCAATAAATATTTTTAATTGAGTTTCTGGAACAAGGAATATACTAGGCATTATGATAAATACAAAGCTATAGGAGATAATATATGACCTAAAGCTGATTGTCTCAATTGGTAGCTACTAGCTACATGTGACTATCATCAACCACTTGAAATATGGCTATTCTGACGTGAAACGTGCTGTAAGAGTAAGAAGAGCACCAAATTTTAGACTTAGTACAAAAAAAATTCATTTAAAAATTACTTCCTATTGATTATGTGGTAAAATTTATTATTTTGGTTATATCAAGTTATATAAGTGTTATTAAAATAGATTCCATTTATTTACTTTTTTAATGTGACTCAAATTGCACTTATATGGGGCAGAATTATTTGATATTAATTTGCAACCCAACTGAGCATGCAAAATATGTATACAGACTTACATAAAAGTTCCTTGTTATACTAATGTATAAGCAATGCATTAGCAGTTGTTCACAGGTGGGAAATGGCTTCTCTGGAGGCTAAAAGTTTTGTAGTGATTATGGCATTTTATCGGAACCTTGAAATTTGTTAGAAATTTAATAGAAAAAAAAGCAAGTCAGGGTGAAGGAAATTCATACTTCATGTGAATACCATCATGGTTTCAAATATGCCAAAGGTCTTTCAAATGCTTTACATGTATTCTATCATTAAATCCTCAAGAAAATCCTATGAGGCATTTTCATTGTTTTCATTTTATAAGAAGTTGAAATAGAAAATTTTTAGGCACATTGTCCAGGGTTCTGCAGCTAAGTCAGTGGCAAAGCTTACCATTCAAACCCAGGAAATCTTCTTCACCTGGATTTCACAATCATGCTGTTGCCTCCTTAGCAGATGAAGGTAGCAGATAAAGGTATTATCTCGGTCAAAGTTACAGGACAGAGTTGAGGGTTTCTAGATTCATCCTTGAAGTTATATGACAATACAGTATACCATGCTTTAGTTTGGAGATGATGTTAGAAATATTTAACAAATGATATGATATGGACACCAACCAACCAAATTGAAACCAACCAGGGAAACAGGCTTCTAGAAACATTAACTTCTTATGTCCTGGTTTGAAAAAGATCTTGGGGTTCCTGCAAGGCATGTTAGGATGGCAGAGCCAATTGAAAAACATATTATTCATAATTGTATAGCTATATAAGAGTATACCCATGATCAGTTTTGTTTCTATGAGTTTTCATTTGCATATAGGGCACTATTTACTCTGATAGTCACAATGTTGGCTCTTTCTTTTTTTGGAAATTTTATAGTTGATGTGCTTATTTATTTTTGGCTTTATTTTTAGTTGACATAATAATTGTACATACTGGGTTGGGGATGTAATTTAGTTGTAGAGAATATTCTTAGCATGTGTAAGACTTTGGCTACAATTTTCAGCACCAAAAAAGCATATGTGTTTTGTGTGTTATAGTATGATGTTTTGATATAGGAATACAATATGTAATGATCAAATTAGGCTAATTAGCATATCCATCATCTCAAATATTTATCTTTTCAAAATGGCTAGAAAAGAGGATTTTGACTTTTGTAAGTGGTTCTTTTCATTCAGATTTCGGCTCACATTGTTGTTATCTTTATTCTTCACCTTCTTATCCAAAGTCACTCTTTAACCTGTAATCCTCTTTAGATTTATTTCCTGAAGGTCATTTGTAAGTGGAATGATTAGATTTATAATTTGTTCACATATTTTCTGTCTGCTTTTGCTCCCTGAGAAAGCAAAGTCCATGAGTGAAGGACCTGGTCTATCCTTCCCCATGGTCGATCTCTCCATCAGTGATGAGAACTGTGCATGGGGAATTCAAGAAATAGTCATTGAAAGGACTATTCCAATTATTTCTGTCAGTAATTTGGAACCTGTTTGTACAAACCCTCCACTGGAAGGCTAATGAGTTGACTGGATCAACAAAAAGATTTGGAGTGGAGAAGTATATTAGAGCTGCTCTGGAGACAGCTCCACTGGGCATAGGTCTTCCAGAAAGCTCTATGTTCCATTTCCATGGGATGTTTAGAGGGAGACATGACTGGGGCTGGAATTCTTTGGCAGATAGTGTTCAAGGCCTTACTGTGATGATGGCAGACAATTTAAAGGAAGGCCCCAATGTTAAGAGAGAACTGTCTCAAAGTCCAAAACTGTGACACAAATTCAGCTCTCAGTTATCTTTGTTTTCTCTGTGGCTTATCTGACTTCATGAATTAGCCAAACTAGAGAATTAGCCAAGCTAGAGAATTAGCTGAAGTAGCCAAGCTAGTCAATTTAGGGGTATATATATATATACATATATATATATATATAGATTTTCTTTGATGAAAGTCTTATGAGTGATGTGTCAGGGAATTTTCACTAGTCTTTTCTCTGTTTGATTCTGGCACACCACTCCCCACCCACTTGCCTGGGTAATTCCTATTGGCCCTCCCTTACACCTCTTCTTAAGTGTGACCTCTCCTGGGATTTCCCCTCTGTTTTTGTTTTTATTTTTATGTGGTGCCAGGGATTGAACCCAGTGTCTCACTAATGCTAGGCAAGCACCCTACCACTGAGCCATAACCCCAGCGGGATTTCCCCTCTGTACCAGGTTAGGTGTTGCTGGTACATGCAGTCACAGCATTCTATAATTCCTCTGTCATTTTAGTTATTGTGTTTCATTATAAATCATATGCTTATTTCCTTCCTAATGGACTAGAGTTTCTCAGGCTTTTAAAAAAAATTTTTATTGACTTCCTTGGGAGTCATCTTAGACTTTGTATTCTCTAATCACCTCTCTCCATGAAAATTTAATACCAAAGAAATACTGTGTATCTGATTATATACTTGATGTGCATCCATGCTTTAAACATTAAGAGTAAGTTTCTTCTTGTTCTCACCCAGAACAAAGTTTCTTTAAGGATGTCACCTTCCCAGTTGAGCAGGTGTGCACGGAGAGTAAAGATCCACACCTGGTCCTGCTCCACTTTGCATAGTGTGTACCTGATGAATATTTGTGAATGACTAGATGAATGCGCTAATTTCTACCAGTCTTCAAAGTATCCAACCTTGAAGTTGATAATCTTGAAACTATATTGGCACATTTAAAAGTAGTACATTTTCAACATCTGCTACTTCTCCTAGATGAATCCACTGCTGATATGCCATCTGTACTTTCCTTTTCTCCCAGATGGGTTTGCACAGGGCTTTCCAGATTCACTCCCTCAGCCCTTTCTTGTGCCCAAAGTGTTCACAAAAAAGGTTTGTCAGGGTTGAGAAAGAATTTTGTGGCTGTGGAAACTTTTTTTTCCTGTTTTATAGCTAGCATACCTAAACAGGAATTGAAACCATGACCTTTATTTTTGTGAGGACATACTTCTATAAAGTTCAGGATTGAAAACTCCTAACTCAGTTAAGCAATATTAGAATGTACAATTTTTTAGGAAATGGAGCTAGCCTTATTATAGCACCTTGCTAAAGATGAACACAGCTTTATTTATACATTTGTACATGTAGCATAAATTAGGTGAAGGTATTTATCAAAACTAAAAGTTCTTTATAACAGAAGAAAAATAGTTGATATTTTTTTGCAGTATAAATGCTGTTGTTTAACTTTTCCATAAATAAAAAAAGATATCAAAGTGTTAAACATAGAGCAAATTCAATTCAAACACATTTTTTTTTTCAAAAGTATCCAACTTGAAAAGATGCTTGTATATAAACTTTCACCCCAAACAAGGCAATCTCTGTAACTCGGTAGAGATCTGGAGTACTGATGAGATTGTTTACAGAGTAAATACAGGTTCAAGTTATCTTTTGTCTGTAAGTTCAAAGGTTTAAGAAAAGAAGATGGGGATATAGCTCTGTTGGTAGAGTGCTTGTCTAACATGTACAATCCTCAGCACAACTAAACAAACACAGAAACAGACTAAGGAAAGTTGAGAAATAAGCATCTCAAAGATATTATTGTAGGTCATTAGGCAATAATATTTTTTGCCCAGAAAAAACTTTTACTTATTATTACACTTTTATTTATTATTCTATAAAAGTAGTCAATTTGTATATGTGTATACACACACACACATTAGCACACACATAATTAC